AGGTAGCTAGGGGCCATTTGTATTTGCTACATGAAGTGAACTGTTTGAACCAATTTATATTGAGATCTCATTAGTGTTTATCTATATAATGTGGATAAATTTTATTGCACAAATAATGGAGACCGTCAATACATCTCTTTTTTTATAAATTTTAACCATAGTAGATAAGAGATAATATGGATGAATTACAAAGCTTAGATAATGCATATTATCATAACAAAATTATTTCCAAATTATAATATAATGTGGATGAATTTTAATGTCAAAACAAACCATACAAATACTCAGTGTCATAGAGGTAATATTGTAAACATCAAATGAAGCAGGGCCATACAAGTAATCAACGCATTTTTTCTGCAACAGGGGCATTATGGACAATTCGCATGGCACTTAACGGTGTTAGGGTCCAAAACTGACGGTAGTGTCATATGGGTCATTAAAATTCGAAGACAGGGCCGTACAAGGAACTTCAAAGTTTACAGGGCCATACAAGGAATAACTAAGTTTTACAGGTCATGCAGATAATTTTCCCTTACATTATTGAGTAGTAGTAGTACCATATAGCTAGCCCTTTTTAAACTAATAACGGGTCCACACTAGAGCTACCACCCCCTATTCCTTTATCAGTACTACCTCCATTCTAAATTATACGTTTTGGTTTCTAGGTACATAACTTGCTATTTATTTGATATACACTATATCTAAATACATAATAAAAAATAATATGTGAAAAAAACTAAAATATCTTATAATTTAAAAAGAGGTAGGACTTAATAATTAGGCCCGCGTGTTGGATCCCTTGTCCTGAAGTTTAGCGTTTTAGCTCTTGAGGAACCAATAAAATTTGTTAGTCAACCATACAAAAAATAATTAGTTTATTAGACAACACAAGTAAGCTAATGTGATGTAAAGTTTAGCTTTAAGTTTAGCTAGCCAAACTTAAACATAGGAAACAGAGCCTCGGGACATTCCCAATAGGCATCCAAACCGTTAGCAGGTATTGTCGGACGAGAGAAAGATGAAAAAGGAACTCGTTAGCAAGTGTGGAAGCAGTAACACACGTCTCCCGAGAAAACATGGATCTCTGACTCAGCTGCTCTTTTTTTCTCTTTCTTCATTTATCCCCTCACATCTCCGTATCGGCGGTTGATTTCATCCCATCGTTGAGGACGTCGTCATGGCACTTTCAATGCAGAAATCATCATAGTTTTATGAATATTAATTGTACTGTCATCTAAGTGTTTTGTTGACGTGGTAATGTAGTTATTAAAGAAAGAGAGCAAAAATCATAGAAACCGGGTCTAAGTTAAAAATCATGTCTATATGAGAATCAAGATATGAAGGGATGTGATTGGTTGAGAATGAAAAAACAATGTATGTGATTGGATAAAAAATGTTATGTAGAAACTATCTATTAGACCATGGCTTCTATATATATAGTTTCTATAGAAATTAATAAATATAGAAATTACATGTAATTTTTAGCATTGGGACTGCCCTTAGATGTAAAGGGGTTTAACGTAGATACCAATATGTCATCATGGTGGATTAGTTGTCCACCAGATATGTAGCACCTAGGCTTTAGCACCCATGATCTAAAATTAAGTTTAGTTATTAGCTAAAGTTAATTAAGGGAGCAAATTCCAGATGCAAATAGCCATAAAACTACGGGCAGGTCTTTCTGTGCAAATTCTAGATGCAAATAGCATGTTCGGGAGGCCGTAAAGGATTATGAATTATTTACTACTGACTAATTTAGTGTGAGAAAAAAATACTATTCTAGTTAAAAATTTACTATCGTTTACGACCAAATCAACATGCCCGCCCAAGTGAATGGACAGAACATTTCCGTGCTGCTCTGCAGAGGTGGTAGGTAGGGTCGGTAGGGAGAACTGCACATACTCCGTACTTGCGTGCTGGAGCGCTCGTTGATTACGGAAGTGCTGTGGTCGCCGTCGGTACCTACGCATGGCACGGTACGGCCCGCCCAACGGTGTTCCGTACGCATGTCCCCGGGTTCGGACGCGTGTCATCCTCCTGCGTGGGCCCCACACGGATACATGCCCTCCTTCCCCGATTTGGGACTCGACCGGCCCCGCCTTCTTCGACAAAAGATTTCAATTAGGCCTCGTTGAGTTGGCGAAATTTTTTAAAAATGGTACTGTAGTATTTTCGTTGTTATTTGGTGATTAATGTTCAATTATAGTCTAATTAGGCTTAAAAGATTCGTCTCGTGAATTTCGTCTAAGGCTCTGTTTAGATGTGAAAATTTTTGGCTTTTGGCTACTATAGCACTTTCGTTTGTATTTGGCAAAAATTATCCAATTATGTACTATTTATGCTTAAAAGATTCGTCTCGCCAATTACGGGCAAACTGTGCAATTAATTATTCTTTTTAGCTACATTTAATGCTCCATGCATGTGCCGCAAGATTTGATGTGACGGGAAATCTTGAAAATTTTTGGATTTTGGATAGGATCTAAACAGGGCCTAAACTGTGTAATTAGTTTTATTTTTTATTTATATTTAATGCTTTATGCATGCGTCCAAAGATTCGATGTGACGGAGAATCTTGAAAAAATTTTGTAAAATTTTGCAAACTAAACAGACACTTAATTAATCATGATCCAGGCATGGCTCCATGCCGCTCCAACCGTACGCCGCGTCTGCAGTCGTCAGTGTGCCTCACTCAGATCGAGCTGCTGAGATCTCGCCACTGTTCCTCGCCAGCTTCCTCCCCGTTGCTGTGTCCTCTCTCGAGTCTCCTGTGTGCGTCTCACTCATCTCAGGAGTCAGGAATAGTCCAAGTGTCCAGGCTGTTCGACCCCATACCAAAATGGACCGGATCAGACCAGCCACCAAATTAGGCTTTCGTTCGTTCCCTACCTAGCGAGAAGAAGCTCCAATTGCTTAGCTAATTAAGCTTGCAGATAGAGATAGCAATGTTGTTATACTTGTGCGTGCAGTCTCTCTCTATATATAGTTTGGCGCGCTATTTCCACTACTGTAGCTGTAGACGCTTCGTTATTCTGCTTGACAAATTTTAATGGGACAATGCAAGGATTGGATGATAGTCCACATATACTTACAATCAGTTGAGCTACACTAAGTTCGTGACAAAGTCTTACCTTTGTACAAATCAAATCTGTTACAAAATCATATCAAATTACAAATAACTCGGATTAAACTGACAAAGCTAGCTAAGCTGGTTTTTTTTTGTTGAGAATGTGCTTAGCACGTATTTCATTAAGAAGAAGTTAGAAGGTTTACACGTTCAGCATCACATCACGGCGAGGTGCCATGAGCGATGGGGCTGAACACGAACACAAGGCACCGCAAAGCGGTGGAATGCACGCTGTTGTAACTAACTAAGAAACTAAGCTGGTTTTTCCAAACCTAGTTAAGCCAGATTTTGTAGTGTTTCTCCCTATGGCCACACTACCTCATTTGGAGTTCAAATTAGAAGCATATACATTTTGATCTTCTCAACAAAAACTACGCAATGGCAAAGTCTAGGCTACCTGGGCATAGCCTATTGTTAGAGTCATGTCCGTTTTTCAGTTGCCCCAGCTCTCCAAATCTTTCATCTGCCGTTTTATCCACCTTCTTGTACTCAGAAAAAGAATTATTGAGGCAGTCTTTATATTTTCTATATAGAATTTTGCAAACCTAAAATTTTATCTAAATCTAGAAAGAGAGCACGGTATTTAGCTTAAATCTTCTACTTCACCTTCTCTATGCTTCCTCGCCACCTTCCCTCTTATCTTCTACATGCTTGCCCATGTACCATCAAGTCCAGCTCAAAAACCATAGCATAAATTAACAAAGCGAGAGTAAATAGGAAACTAGAGTTATGGTGACAGACCCTTGAGTCTAAAGGTTTTAGATTGAGTAGAACTAAAATCGAATATATGAGATTCAACTTTGGCGGAGTTGTACAGGAGGAGGGAGATGTGAGTTCGGAAGGTCAAGTAGTGACTAAGAAGGATACATTTCGGTATCTGGAATCGATGCTATAGAGGGATGAAGATATTGATGAGGACGTTAGCCATAGAATCAATGCAGGGTGGATCAAGTGGCGACAAGCTTCTGGCATTCTCTGTGACAAGAGGGTACCACAAAAGCTAAAAGGCAAGTTCTATAGAATGACGATTAGTCCGGCTATGTTGTATGGAGCATAATGTTGGCTTACAAAGATTCGACATGTTCAACAACTGAGTGTTGCAGAAATGCGTATGTTGCGATGGATTTGCGGTCACACAAGAATGGACCGAGTTCGGAACGATGATATACGTGATCGCTTAGAGGTAGCACCAATTGAAGAAAAGCTTGTCCAACATCGGTTGAGGGGGTTTGGCTATGTCCAAAGGAGACCTTCAGAGACACCAGTGCATTGTGGAGTCCTAAACCAAGCTAATAATATGAGGAGAGGTAGAGGAAGACTGAAATTGACATGATGGGAGCCAATAAAAAGATATTTGAAAGTTTGTGATATACTAGATATATATGTTTGAATAGGAGTCCTTAGAAAGCAGCTATTGAAGTGCCTGAACAGTGACTTAGGGCTCTTGGTGGGTTTCAACTCTAGCTTACCCTAACTTGCTTAGGACTGAAAGGCTATGTTGTTGTTGTTGTTGTTGTTGATTAAAAAACCAGTTAAGCCGGGTTAGGAAACTGAATAAACCTGTTTCCCAGATATCCTCGCTGTCGCTAATGATGTAGCAAGCTTTCTCCACACTCTAGTCTCTATGCAACACATAGCACATACTCCTTCAATTGTAAAAATGAATGCATATCTCACTTTTTAAGGAGTCATTTTTAATAATTTTTTTAAGTCTGACCAAGTACGGCTATTTCTAACATGTAACGAGTATCATTAGATTATTAGTAAAATATATTTCTATAACAAATATTTTGAGATACAAATATTCATACAGTTCATTCTTTTTTAGGACCGAGGAAGGATTAGGACAAAGGGAGTAGGCAATTCAGATCATCCCTTAGTTTTTCATTGTTTTGGTAGATCCCTCCCCGTCTTGGGAGTTCAGTGGTTCACAGTTCTCAAGAAATGGGTAATCCGTGTAGCCAACAACAGGATCATCGGTGTAGAATGTTGATCGATCGTACTTGTTCAGAGGAGCATTCAGATGGAATCGCCTCGGCAGGTCAGGATTCGCCAAGAATAAGCGGCCGTATACAACCATGTCAGCATATCCATCAGCCACAACTCTGTTCCCCTCTTCCCTGTCGTAACCTCCACCAACCATGAAAGTTCCGTTGAAGGCCTTCCTCATTTCGTGCAGCCTGTGTGGGATTTTCATCTTGCCATCCACCATGACCATCTCAGGTTCCACCGCACTGCAGTACATGATGTTGTATCTGTTCAGCTCCTGAGCCATGTAGACACCCAACCTTTCTGGGTCCGAGTCATGGCAGCCAAGGTAATTGGCATAAGGAGAGAGGCGGATCCCCACACGGTCTGACCCAATCTCAGCCACCACAGCACCAACTACCTCAAGGGCAAAGCGACAGCGATTCTGTATGCTGCCTCCATACTTGTCAGTGCGGTCATTGACACTGTCTTTCATGAATTGCTCGAGAAGGAAGCCATGAGCACCATGGATTTCAACCCCATCAAAACCTACATTTGATACGTGTTATGATTCTGATCACGTAAGGTCCTTGTACATGTTTCAGAAGGTACAGCAAGGTAATAGAATATCTAATCTTTGTAATCGAACAAACCGAGAACCTATAATATTTGTAATCAAACAAACCAGGAACCTATCTTACAGAAATCAACTACAATTTAAATTCTATTTTTACAGCATCTAATTATTATGAGCAAGTAAATTTCATCCTGAAAACAAAGAGTAGTGATGCTTTTTCTTATTTGCCTTTTATTTTCTATTATGTTGACTATCAGCTTACCAGCATCCACAGAATTTCTTGCAGCAATTCTGAAATGATTGATTACATTGGGGATCTCTTCTACGGTTAAGGGTCTTGGGATGGGGAAATCCATGTGGTCATCTTCATTCTTTTCCACTGGCTTATCTGTGCTGGAGATGGGTTCTTTCTCTGGTAATAAATAAGAAGGTAACCATCCCTCAGAGTCATTGGTTCCAGATATTCAAAATCAATTAAGCAGACTGACTAAAGTAAGAGATGTCAATGAAATAATTCAATTTTCAGTTCAGTTTTGGAACACAGGGTAGGTGAGGCTGCTGTGGTTGCAGTTGCACCAAACCTGAAAAGATTTCTTTCAAAAGATACAAGATGGCCTAAAAAAGGCTTTGATGGAACCACGAACACTAAAATTAAGTTTGAAGCATTTTGCTGCAGGTGGAGGGTAGTGTCAAGTGTGACATGAGCACAGCATTCACCAAACATCATCACATTCATTATGGTGGTTAATAGAAGGAAATGGAAGGGGTCAGGTAAGAAATGTTTACCCATATCAGATGCTCTTCCTACATGCCAAATCTGGCAGAAGAATATTCCACCTTTTGCATGCACTGCATCCACAACAGGCTTCCAGGCCTCTACTTGTTCCTTGGTCCAAATCCCTGGGGTGTGTGGAATTAAACTTATCCCTTGAGCATCAGATGACACCCCTGTGGCTTCAGCAATCAGAAGACCACCCTCTGTAGCCCTCTGTGAGTAGTACAGTATGGCATGCGATTGTGGAAGATTGCCATATGATCTGGCTCTTGTTAAGGGCGCCAACACAGTTCTGCATGAAGATGAAGAAAGTGATCATAAAGAAGACGTCACTTAGTTCTTAGGCATGATAATTGTTTTCCTTTCTTCTGCGTGTACAAGAAAAGCCTGTATCAGACATCCATCTTAGACATGTATTTCTCTAAGAGAATTCCAGTGCAAGTGGCAATTAATGCAAAACAAACTATTTTATAAACCGAAGAAAATTAATCTCCATAGCAGAGCTGGAGCAATTTGCAGGTCAGTAACACAACTGATGCATGAGAAAGTTTGAAGAGCAGATGAGAGCAAGGAAATTGACATACCAAGTCATCCAAGTCTACTGAAACTCTAGCATGTCTAACTAACCTGTGTGAAAACCTGAATCTTTCTGTTTCATAAGGACTCAGAAGAGGTATAGATTCCATGATTGCTTCCCTTGCTCCTCAGCTGCTACTCCCCAAGAGGGACATGGGAGTGGTTTGTTTTTTTATGTCTACCACATTACTTACCAATATGATGGCACTCAAAATACAACAGAGACTCTCAGAGCCTAACAGATATAAAGGCAAAAAAGATGCTGGTGGGGAAAGGCAGGTAGGTAGGACATAAATAAATTTCCAGGGTACTAATGCTAAAGCACAACTGGACAAGACTGGTGGTTGAGTGTTAGACGGTAGTATGTCATGCGTGTGTATGGGTCCAGCGCTAGGTTGTTTAGCTGGCCGGCCCCGGTTAGTGTCGACACCGAGTACCGAGCTGTTGACAATGCCGTTGCAAAGGCTATCTGGTTGCGCCAATTGTTGTCTGAGCTGCACACCCCTTTGCGCAAGACAACTTTGGTGTATTGTGATAACATCAGCACCGTCTACATGTCTTCGAACTCCGTTCAGCATCAGCGCACCAAACATGTAGAGATCGATCTACACTTTGTTCGGGAGCGCGTTACACTTGGTGATAGTGTGTATGGGTCCAACGCTAGGCTGTTTAGCCGGCCAGCCCTGGTTGGTTTAGTCAGAGAGATGAGAGGAGTAGAGAGATGAGAGGAGATCTCAGAGAGAGTAGAGGTGCAGAGAGATTGTAGGAAATCTTGACTGGTGTTACTTCTATAAACCACGAGATCTCCTCACTCTCACCTATGTAAAGCTCTCCTTCTCTTAATCAATCCATCATGCAATTCCACGCAATCTCTCCTATGTAGGGCCGGCCGGCTAAACCGCCTAGCGCTGGACCCATAGACACCGCCTGATGAAATATAAGTTAATCAAGTGATTTTTCTTTGTAAAATTAGGAATCATATGAGAAAATCTTACTGATGTCAGATTCTCTTCCAGGATAGCAAATCCGGTGAAAGAATATCCCACACTTCACAAACACAACATTGTCAGCTAGCTTCCAAGCCTCTAGTTGTTCGAAGTTGCACTCATGCCTTAAGATTCAGATGACAAACATGTGGCTTCTGTAATCAGGCCTCCCCGTTTAGTCATTTGCTAGCAGGGCAAGACTGCACTATGATCTTTATCTTGACGAACATGCGATAAATAAAGGGCTTGACCTGCCAGTTTGTTATTCAGTATGCCAGTTACCGAGTTGACTGTAATACAAATACGTACTTGACCTCTCAGTAGATGATAATCCATCCAGGAACAGATCTACTGGCAATGTTCAGCGGATCCTATCCTGCATACTTGTTCACCTCAATTTGGCTGGAACCAACTCAAACTCTGAACGGAACGGCCGACCGCTGCTTTCTCAAGGCAAGGGACGCAGGCAGAAAAAGGGCAGTTTTGTTCTCGTCCGGTCCTTTTCGCTTGATCTACTTTTGAGTCGTAGAAGAGTATTTTTCTCTCATAGTATTTCAGTATAAATATCAGCATAAATTAAATTTTAGTATACGTATTTCCGGATGTGCCCGGCGGCCGGCGCCACTGCAATTTGCACAGTCAGCGCACTGACGGACTGAGCCTTGAAAAATGGATGGATTCCTCGTCTCCCTTTGACCTTTGGCTATGACCGGCGGGGAAAACGGACTGGTGGGCTGCGGCGGAGGCGTCACTGCATACTGCATCCGACCGGCTGCTATCCTACCAACTAACTACACCACCAACCTCTGCAACAGCGATGTAAGGCCTGGTTCGTTTGAACTTATCAGCCAGAATCTACAGTATTTTTCTCTCACAATAAATCAACTTTAACTAGTTTATCAGCCGGCTTTAATAATTTTTTTAAAAAAGCTTTGCTATATGTCTAGATATATACTATGTTTAGATAAAAAACCAGAACGACTTGTAATTTGGAACGAACGAATAGACTACTTATGGCCCGTTCGGCTGGTATTAAAGTCGGCTGATAAGCCGACTAAAACTAATTTATTGTGAGAGATAAATACTGTAGATTATACCTGATAACTCGACTGATAAATTCAAACGAACAGGCCCTGCTGTACGTCCAACAGTGCATGGCTCCCTTATAGGAGTAGCTAGCTAGATCGATGGTAGTAGTACACGCGCGAACCAACAGCCATGAGGCGTCCACAGCAACTGCACACGCGCACAGTGCTGCCAGGACGATCGAGGCAGCCATTATTGCGCCCAATCATGGATCAAATCATGAGCTTAACATAGTAGCTGGCCTCTTGAAGTGACTTGTTGCGACCCAGGCCGGTGCCCCCATTAGAGCAAGTTTAATAATTCAGCTTGCTCCCCGCCTGCATCCGGCTGCAAGAAGAACAAAACGGTGACTCCCAGCTAGCTCCCAGCCTGCATCCGGCTGCAAGACTGTTTTTTCCTCTCGTACTCTGTGTTTCAGCCGGCGGCAAGGTAAGCGCCCGCTCAACCTTCTCTCTCCTAGCGTGGCAAGATTTTTGATGACATGGAGTTCATCTCGCCGGCTCACATACGTTATTATACCTGCTCTTATGCGTTGGCTATATATAAGGGCGAAGGGCCACCGTGGTATCATCAAATTCCACATCGCATAATCGCTCAGCTCGATCGATCTTGCTTCACATGCATACATTAATTCTTTGGCTAATTCGCAACAACTAACTGGTTGGTATAGTATATAACACGATGGACCAAATGGGCAAGCACCTGCAGATGGCTTCCATGACGAGCAGCGTCGTCGTCGGCGGCTGCCAGTCGTCGTCGTCGTCTTCGCAGCAGTACCGGGTGTAGAAGAACAGGTCTATGATCCTAGTCTTCTAGGTCTTCCTAGCATGTAGGAAACCGTTAGTCCTCTAGACCACTCGTTCTCTGTATATGTACAAGCTCCATCTGGTGAATACAATTGAGCACTTCAGTCACTTGTTCTCTTACATGGTATCAGCCGCTTCCTGCTCCATTCTTCCGCTGCCTCTCTCACTACTCTACGTCGTCTTCCTCATGGCGTCACCCTCCCAATCCTCCAGCTCCTCTCGCAGTGCCGCGTCCAACCCCTTCGCCACTCTTCCCGACGCAGACACTCCCACTGCTGCCACGATTGCCATGGTCAACATTCGGGCCCATGTTCCAGTGATCCTCGAAATGGACGCCGCCAATTTCCGCCAGTGGCGTACCTTCTTTGAACTGACGTTCAAGAAGTTCGGCCTCATGGATCATGTGGATGGCACCATTGACGCCGCCCTCATGCAACATCACCCCGAGTGGTGCCAGAACGACTCGAGCATCAACTCTTGGCTCTACACTACTCTGTCCAAGGACCTGATGGATGCGGTCTATCAGTCCCGCTCCACGACGCAATCCGCCTGGCAGGCGATCAACAGCCAGTTCCTCGACAACAGCCTCCAGCGCGCCGTCTTCCTGCAACAAGACTTCCACAGTCTCTATCAAGGGGACATGTCGATCACGGAGTACTGTGGCCATCTCAAGCAGTTGGCCGACGCCCTCTACGACGTCGGTGCCGCTGTCACCGATCAGGCCCTCATCATCAACACTCTCCGCGGCCTCCATCCTGACTACAGTGGCGCCGTCGTCGTCCTCTCCTCCAAGGTGCCGCCGCCCACGTTCCCCTACACTTGGTCCTACCTCGTGCAGGAGGAGCAGCGCAAGTCTCTAACACGCAAGATGGCGGCTGCCACGGCACTCCTCGCGGCGGGCTCCTCCAACACGGGCTCCTCCAACACTTCTGCTCCACCTCGGCCCGCCAACCATGGCAGCCATGCTCCTTCCTCCACGGGCGGTGATCGCCGCAAAAAGCGCAAGAACGCGGATGGGCGGTTCCGCAATACCGGGAACGCCTCTAGCACCGCTCGTCCACAAGGTGGATCCGCTTCTTCCGGGCCTCCGCCATTGTGGGGTCAGGCATACAATCCGTGGACCGGCTACATGCAGGCCTGGCCCACGAACCAATGGCGTGCTCCGCCTTAGGGTGCCCTCGCCCAGCGTCCCGGTACGCCCCAGCCACAGGCGCTGGCTGCGTTCCAGGCGCCCCAGCTCCCGCAAGCGCCCTAGCTTGGTTTCGGCGAGGCGAACCCCTTCGCCATGCAGCAACAGCAGCCTCCTCATGGCCTCCTCTCCGCCCTCCACGGTGCGTCGACTCACGCTCCGCTCGGAGGACACGGTGGTGGTGATTGGTTCCTCGACACTGGGGCCACCTCTCACATGGCCTCCAATTCCGGTATCCTCTCATCCCCTTCCTCCCTTCCTTCACCCTCTCATATTATTGTTGGCAACGGTGCTCCCCTTTCGGTCCAGTCCCATGGACATGCTCTTTTGCCTACACCATCCTCATCTCTTAAACTGAATAATGTTCTTATCTCCCCTCATTTGATTAAGAACCTTATTTCAGTTCATTCTCTCACCCGCGACAATTCCGTTTCTGTCGAATTTGACCCGTGTGGTTTTTCCATAAGGGCTTGTTCGGTTGCGCTGGAACGAGCCCAAGAATCGTTCCGTCTGATGAAGCTTATACAATATTAGCTAAGCAATCCAGCTGGAAATTTTCCTGGTCACCATTCCGTGACAACCGAACGCAACCTAAAGGATCTTCGTTCCAAGACGGTTCTGCTCCGCTGTGACTCATCCGGCGATCTCTATCCCCTTCGATGGCCGACATCCAGTGGTCCAGCGCAAGCTCAGGCTCTTCTGGCCTCCCAAGACTCCAAGCTGTGGCATGCCCGTCTTGGCCATCCAGGAGAGGACTCCTTGCGTCGCGTCTTGCATTCCTTTGGTTTTTCCTGTAGCAAATCCGGCAAACACACATGCCATGCATGTCGCTTGGGCAAGCATGTGCGTTTGCCCGTTACCACCTCCAATAATGTTTCTTCTTCTCCTTTTGATCTCCTTCATTGTGATGTCTGGACCTCACCAATAACAAGCAATTCTGGTTTTCAGTTTTACTTAGTTGTACTTGATGATTATTCTCACTATGTCTGGACATTCCCACTCCGTCATAAGTTGGATGTTCTTCCCACTTTAATTTCTTTCCATGCGTTTGTGCGAACTTCGGTTCAGCGTGACATCAAGTGTTTTCATGCGACAATGGTCACGAATTCGATAGCACTGCAACTCGAGCTTTCTGCACCACGCATGGCATTTCCCTACGCCTCACGTGTCCGTGATATCGCCCCAAAAAATGGACGAGCTGAGCGGGTCTTTGCGCGACGATCAATGATAAGCAGTGCGTAATTCTTTGTTCCATGCTTCGTCCCACCCCATTTTTGGCTGGATGCTCTCAAAGATCTGCTACATACTTGATCAACCGCCGACCATGTCGCCCACGCTTCAGCAAACCCCCGCATGAGCTCCTCTTTGGCGTGCCACCCACATATGAACACCTACGCACTTTTGGTTGCCTTTGCTACCCTAACACCGCTGCTATCACCGACCGCACAAACTCGCCCCTGCTCGATCAAGTGCATCTTCTTGGGTTATCCGGCGGAACAACGAGGATATCGCCGCCACGACCACGAGTCTCGTCGTGTACTAACCTCTCGTCATGTATATTTCGACGAGAACGTTTTTCCTTTTGCTCAGAGCTACCTGTGCGCCATCGTGTCGCCGGCACGTTCTCGCCTCTTCATCGGGACGTGATGATGATTACGCCTCCACCACGCCGTCGGCCAGCGGTTGGTGCTCCAGCTCCACAACTCGTGATCAGCACTACTAGTGCGCCACAGGTGCATCACCGAGCACCACATCTTCCACGTCTCACGACGGCCGCGACCACTCGCCTGGGCCCACAACGGGCGCCGCACCACCTCGTCGACGACCACACCCGCAGAAGACAGCCACCATCACGCGACCGCAACACCTTCGGCGGATTCTACGACGGTGGCCACGACGTCGGTGCGGGGGGCCACCGAGCCGCCTCGGCATCCCATGATGACTCAAGGCCGCCACAGCATCGTCCTCCCCAACCCGGCACGCCAACCTCACCTCCACCACGACGTTTGTCTTCTCCACGTGCTCTGTCCGTGCAGCGCGCCCGCGATCGACATGGCGGCAAAGCGATGCAAGAGGAGTACGATGCCCTCGTGTCCAATGGCACCTAGACACTCGTGCCACGGACGCGGTGGTGCAAACGTCATCACAGGAAGTGGATCTTCAAGAACAAATTGAACCCCGACGGAACCCTAGAGCACCGCAAGGCTCGATGGGTGGTCCGTGGGTTCAACCAGCGTGCGGGCGTCGACTTCCACCAGACCTTCTCGCCGGTCGTCAAACCTGCAACAATTCGGACAGTCCTTCATCTTGCAGCTTCGCGTTCGTGGCCGGTACATCAACTCGACGTCAAGAATGCGTTCTTGCACGGCAACCTTGCCTAACAGGTGTTCTGCCATCAACCTCTGTGCTTCATCGATCGAGATACCCGAACCATGTGCGTGCGTCTTGTCAAGTCCTCTATGGACTTAAACAAGCGCCTGTAGGCGTGGTTTGAGCGTCTTGGTGGCTACCTCCGGCGCATTGGCTTCATCTCCACCGGCTCCGACGCATCGCTCTTCGTCTTCACTCACACTGGTCAGACAGCTTATTTGCTTGTCTATGTCGATGACATCCCGCTCACCGCTTCGACAAGTGATTTCTTGGCACACATCGTCAAGCCGCTTCGCCAATAATTTGCAATCAAGGATCTTGGTGACATCCGGTTCTTCCTCGGTGTGCAAGTTGGCGAACGAACATGGCTTCTTCCTCAACCAAGCACAATATGTCAAGACATTCTTGAACGCTTGGGATCTTTGAATCGCAAGTCCGCTCCGACACCGGTCGACACCAAGCCAAAGCTCTCCACGACGGAGGGTGCCCTCTTCAATGACCCGATGTTCTACCGCAGCATTGCGGGTGCACTCCGAGACTGACCTTGACACGCCCCGATCTTGCATATGTTGTGAATCAGGCGTGCTTGTTCATGCACGCGCCACGGGAAGTACACTGGGGACTTGTCAAGCGCATTCTCCGGTACCTGCGTGGAACACTCGACAATGGTCTGCGCATCTCGACATCACCGACAACGCACCTGACTGCCTACTCCGACGCAGATTGGGCAGGGTGCCCCGACACCCGACGATCCACATCAGGCTACTGCGTGTTCCTTGGTGACTCATTGGTGTCTTGGTCGTCCAAGCGACAGACCACGGTATCTCGATCAAGTGCCGAAGCCGAATACCGCGGCGTGGCACACGCCACAGCGGAGTGCTGCTGGCTCAGGAACCTTTTGCAAGAGCTGCACGTTCCAATCAACAAGGCCACAGTAATTTATTGCGACAACATTTCAGCGGTGTATCTCTCTGAAAATCCAGTTCATCATCGGCGTACAAAGCATGTTGAGCTGGATCTGCACTTCGTGCGCGAGAAGGTTGCACTTGGGCAGCTTCGTGTTGTTCAAGTACCAACTACACACCAGTATGCTGATATCATGACGAAGGGTTTGCCCAGTGCATTGTTCAACCAGTTTAAGTCTAGCTTGTGCGTTTCTAACACCGATGATGTAACTGAGGGGGGTGTAGAAGAACAGGTCTATGATCCTAGTCTTCCGGGTCTTCCTAGCATATAGGAAACTGTTAGTCCTCTAGACCACTCGTTCTCTGTATATGTACAAGCTCCATCTGGTGAATACAATTGAGCACTTCAGTCACTTGTTCTCTTACACCGGGGTGTGCGGAAGCGGAAGTGGGGCAAGTGGGTGTCGGAGATCCGGCAGCCGGGCACCAAGACACGCATCTGGCTCGGCAGCTTCGAGTCAGCCGAGATGGCCGCGGTGGCGCACGACGTGGCCGCGCTGCGCCTGCAGGGCCGCGACGCGCAGCTCAACTTCCCCGGGTGCGTCGCCTGGCTTCCCCACCCCGCGACCTCGCACCCGGCCGACGTCCGCGCCGCGGCCGCCAAGGCCGCCGACCGGGTGCGCTGCGACCCGGCGGGCCCGGCGCTGCTGCTGCTGCAGCAAGTGCAAGTGCAGGTGCAGGCGGCGCGGTGCCACGACCACGACCACGAGTTCGGAGCCGGGCCGGGGCCGGTGGTCGAGCTCGGGAGCGACGAGGAGTTCGCGCTGGGCCTGGACTCGCCCAGGCTGTGGACCGAGATGGCGGAGGCCATGCTCCTCGACCCGCCGGGCTGGGCCACCGGCGTCGGCGAGGCGGAGGTGGCCCAGTGCTGGTCACACGGCTCCCTCTGGGACGCATGCTAGCTCAGCGCCTCGCACCCGGCGCGGCCGGCTGCTCACTCTCAGTTGCCTTGGCTTTGGCTGCAAGTGTTTGGGCATGGCCAATGGCCACTAGACGCTGCTTAACCTCACACGTGTCGCAATGCTTTTGGTGTGTGCCGGGCTGCTCACTCTCTATTGATACTCCCGTGTGGCTTCGTTTTCCTGCTGCTGTTGGGCTTGCCGTTTTTTTCGTTCCCTGTTATCATCTTACCTGTATTAGTATTAGGAAAAATGATGACAGTCGAGATCATTTGAAAAAAAAATAGTACTGATATTATGGTTTGGTCTGTTCCTGCATTTGTACTAACTTGTGCAGTCAAATTGGAGATGACGGCGCATGTAAGTACTCACCAAAAATGGTCTTGTATTTTAGTATTTTATTATTTATAATAAACATGTATGGTGATTTTTGTAGACAATTATATCTAATATGAGAACCGCGCTGGTATCAAAACCACTATATTTCCTCGATCTCAAAATAATTGATCTTCTAACTTTGTCCTAAGTCAAGATTATTTTAAATTTAACTAAATTGTAGGACAGAATATAAACCATTTATGGCACCAAATGGGACTTAGATATACTATGAAAATATATTTCTTAATAAATCTAATAAAACTTACTTGATATTATATATTAAATGTTAGTATTTTTATATAAATTTAGTTAAACTTGAAATGGTTTGAGTTAGAATAAAGTTAGAACATCTATGGATTATTTTTGAGACTGAGAGAGTATGTTTAGATGAAAATAGAGTGACTCTTCTATATATTTATCTAAAGACATTAAGGTGAATTCTTGTGGTCGCCTTGTATGTTTTTTCACGGGCGCAAATGTAATCATTTGATTGTTGGGGCGTGAGTGCATGTGTGTGGGGTTGTTTGCGGTCTTGCCCTTTTTCTCTTGTTAATATAATGATGTGCAACTTTCCTGCATTTTCGAGAAAAAAAGGTGAACTCCTGTGGTTATCTCCTTACCTTACCTAGTCCGTACCCGTACCATACTACGCACATCAGAATATAGGACAACATATAGAGTGTGTTTGGTTTGTGGAACCCTGACATGCTTTATGAGGTGGTGCATCATGAATTCATTCTATGAATTTTGGTGAAATCAACTCATTCCTCATGCATATACTAATTTTTAGCTTGTGAGAAATGAGATGATGATAGATCAACTCAATGTATTCCACAAACCAAACAAAAAAGTGAAGAGTGAGAATTCATTCTATGAATTTTGGTGAAATTAACTCATTCCTCATGCATATACTAATTTTTAGCTCGTAAGAAATGAGATGATGATAGATCAACTCATTGTATTCCACAAACCAAACAAAAAAGTGAAGAGTGAGAAGAAGATGGACCACCTCATTTCTCAAACACAATGATTTAGCCACGATGATAGGGACTACTTTTGGTGCAGGAAAATAACTGTTGCTAAAATCTGAATCAATCATATGCAGTGAGCTAGTTGTTCTAAAATAAGGCAGTATACGTCGTTCCATTTTGAAAAAAAAAATGCCATAACAAAAGTTGTTGGACCCAAATACAAATTGACTAGATAACATGTACGACAAACTGCATGATGGGTGTTGAGGTGCATATGCACATGAGCAGTCAACTTGCATTACACAAAATGTCATGTGGTATTGATCTTATATTCCCCGTTCGCGTGCCCTTAAACCCGGCTTGATCCGCTTCTTTTTTCATCCGGAATAGTATTTTCCTCTCACAGATTCCTCCAGAATTCTTCCGAACCATCCAAATTCCTCCAGAACCATACCATCCGAACGGGGCCAAGGGGGAACTGATCTTTCAAAAGGGGGAGGGGCTAGCAGGCTGTAGAGTTATCGATTCCTTTTTTAACGGAAAGGGTCATGTATACATAATTACTCTAAGAGCTTCTCTAAACTTCAATCTCTATATCTTTATTTAAGAGCCATTCCATAAATATTCTCATCATGTCTTTTATATCTCCAATGGACTCTCTAAGTTTCATTCTCTAGCTATAATACAATGGCTTGTCATAATTTTTTTATATGAAAAAATCATAACAAAACTACCATATATTGAATTTAGAGAGCAATGTAACATCTCCATTAGTGGAGAGTGAGAAGGGTAGTTTTGGAGAGTGGTTTAACCGTATAAGTATATTTGAGCCTGATTTTTTTGGTTTGTTTTCTAAGTTTTTGTGATAAAGAACCAATAGGGGGATCTTGGAGATGCTGGTGACGGAGATAAAGAAAAAAGATAATGGAGAGTTTACACTACTCTCTAAATTTAGTATATAGTAGTTTTGTAATGAACTTTTCAACATATGAAAAATTGTGATAAGCCATTGAAGTATAGAGAACGAAATCGTGAATATATAAAGGGAATATTAGTGGGTTGGCCCTCTAGATAGGGATATAGAGAGGTTGAATGCCTTTAACATGACTTCAACCAAATAGCCAATAAATTGTTTGTTTGACTTTTAAAATATAGCTTCATGATGTTCAAACCCACAGTAACATGGTCCTTACTTGTTGGCTACTTGATTGTAGTTTTATAGTAAGTCAATATGTCAACCCATCACCAATACTAGAATCAGTATTAGGTAGAGCTAGTAATGGTAGTATAGTGAGAGAGGATAGTTAGCAGGGGTGGATGTATAGAGACAATTATGGGTTGTTTGGTTCGAGAAATGTATTGATCTACTATCTTCTCATTTAATTTCTCACTTTTTTATTTTGTTTCTGAAATGGAATAGGTTGGTTCATCACCATCCCATCCTTCACAAACAAACAATTAGTACAAGCACGAGGAACATGATTATTCTACTAATGACAATAAATGAATATATGATTCACTGCCTCATCTAGGATGAGATAGTTCCACAAACCAAACATCCCATTAGGTTTTATTTGAGAAAATCCTAAATTCTTCACCCACTTCTCATTGGTCTTAATCCATCAGCATGTTGCAAAAACCATGTGGATTGTTTGAACTAGGAGAGGTGCTACCAAAGAGTGTGATTCGCGCGTGAATTTTTTCCTTGATTCTTTGTCATAGTGAAATAATTAGAAACCTTTTCCAACATTTTGTTCAAAGAATACTCATCCATCATCAGACCATTGACAAGGATTCTATAGTTATTGGGTCTGTTTGGTTGTGAGGTAGGATGGAATGTGAGAAGTCATGGTTGGGCCCTTGACTGAAGAATGATCAGCGATTATTAAGATTATTTGAGAATTTCCTGGTTAGGATCTTAACTCATATGTGCTTGATTATGCTAATGGCTAACTGAAAGTGCATTTGCCCCCTATGTGGGTTTTGGTATATTGATGACATTCAAATTAGGGACTAATGAGATGTTAATGAGATATATTGCAGCTTTAGTCCCTTGAAAGTTTCAAAGAGTTGATCTAAGATAAAATTGTATCCCTCAATTCTTCAAGTGCAAAAAGCGTACGAACCCAAAGCGCTCTCCAAAGCTTTTATATTTTGTTTTGGGTTTAGGTATGCCGTACTATAAAGAGGGATGCAAGTTTAGGTGGTCTGAGGAAGATAGAGTGCTCAAGCATAAAAATAAAATCAAAAGAGAGACACAAAATCACCTCACAAACACTTAGACATAGTTTTGGACTTTTGGTAGTCGAAAATCCTGGCGTGAGCTAGGAGTTCCGACTATCGGAACTCCCGACGTTTGGTGCCGGAAGTCCCGACGCTTGCTGACCTTGCCGCCAGCCCACCTGCGCACCTTCACCCATCGGAAGTCTCGACGGGAGTCGAGAGTTCTAGGTCGCAGAAGTCCCGGCTCCCGCCAGAAGTCCTGATGCCCTGGGACTTAGCCCAATGGCTCGGCTATGCGTCAGGAGTCCCGACTGCCGAAAGTTTCGACGTTCCGCCAGGAGTTCTGGCTCTGGCTAAGTTGACCACCTTTGACTACGCCATGAACAGTGTTTTGTAGAAGGGACAGAAGTTTCAGTGATCTGTGTCGAAACTTCCGACGCAGATATGAATGGTTGGATTCTACGATGAGTATAAATAGCTCTCTCCTCTCTTCTAACCATCAACCACTCATTCATTGGTCACCAACCTTCGTCCAAAGCAGCTCCCAAGCATTCAAGGCGCCCTTCTCCTCTCCCCTTTGCTCTAATCTTCGATTCCCCTAGGGTTTTGAGTGAAAGGAGAGTGGATTGAGTGAGAGAATCACTTTGGCAAGCTTGAGCACTTTATTTCTTCATCAAGCCGGTTGGATTGGCATCTATTACTCTTGGGTTCTTGGAACCCTAGCCGACTAGGCGTCGCCCAAGCGCTTCCTTGTTGTGGGAAGTTTGTATTACCCTCGATTCTTAGTGGAAAGCTCGAGTGACCTTTGTGGTTGCTTTGAGAGAGGCAAGGAGGTGGAAGAGACTCCGACCTTTGTGATCACCTCAACAACGAGGATGTAGGAGCTCCTTTATGGGTTTGCCAAATCTTGGGATAAATCCCTGTGTCCCGCGTGCTTGTTGTTGTTGAGATTTGTGCTTTCATATTTGTTCTTGTTGGTTTGTCTTCCCCCCTGTTGACGGTCATTAACATCAATCATTAACCGTCAATATAACTTATATAAATGTATAAAAAGGATCGCCAACATAGGTTTAGGGGTTTAAACTGACAAATTCCATGAGTTTTGGTGAATCTGTGTTTTCAGCAGGGTTTATCTAGAAAACCCACAAGGGGGACATATTCATCAAAGCAAATCATATTTATCCGCAACAAAACTGACATGGGAAGACTCTAGAAGGCAAACCACCGAAGTGGAGGGCAGGTGGCTGCCATGTGGGGCCGGTCGACCCCACCTGCAGGCTGCTCGGGCCCACCTGTCAGCCCCTCCTTCAAATGTCGGTTCTCCACCGCCTCCTAGATTTCATCTACGTTGTTCTTTCAAGTCGGTTTGATCCGAGGGTCCAGAATTGATGCTCTAGCCTATATATACCAGCCCCTACCCCCCTCCCTGGA